ATCAGGGAGCTGGGCTCCTTCACTCTTCCTGTTCTACCATCCTTTGATGCATGGCTTCCATCACCAAGTTGTCTCCAGGTCCTGAAGAGCATCTGGAGCGCCTGCTATCACAGCCATGTTCCAGCCAAAAAGCAGAAGAGAAGGTAGTGATCACAGGGCACATGCCAGCTGTCATTTTCTCAGCGTGCATGCCTCTGCATCCACCCAACATGTCTATCTGCTTACGGCTTACAGGCCACTGTGAGCTTCAAGGAAGGCCAGCAACTGAGGCCGCTTCACTGGGCACCTTCACTCCAGAATAAAACAGGAGTCTGTTGCTAAGGAAGCAGGGAGGAGAGTTAACAGGTAGGTAACCAACCACCTCCAGCACAACCCAGACCAGCTGCTACCCAGCTCAGCTCAGCACTTGGGGGCAGAATTTTCAGACATGGGGATGGCTGGCCCTGTGTAGGGGACTGAGCACTTGGTGACATTAAACGCAAGGAAAAGCTTTGCAATGGCGGTAACCTGTGAATGCACCCAGGTCTCCTGCACTGGACACTCACAGCAGCCCTGAGCACAACTGTGGCCAAATAAACTATGGCATACCCAGGCTGGAGAATGCACCGTTTAATAGTGAGCGCATCTCCACACACCAGCATGGAACAACATACACAGGAATCCTTGAGCAACCCGCTGCCTCCCTCCACTCAATTCTATTTTCCCTCAGTTGTCCTGATCTTCCCAAGGGTGCTTTAGAGACTCTGCTCGAAGAGGGAGGCAGGGGCCATTATTTTCAGGAGGCCCTGGGAAAAGAGAGTCAATGTAGAACCTGGCTCACCGACCCTAACCCTTCAGCGGAAAGAAGTCGACATTCAGCTGGAGTAGAATTGAGCCTCAGTGTTTCTGGATCTGAGAAACGCTTCAAGTCACTCAGAGGCCAGGCAGAAAACCTTGAGCAAACACAGGACCAAGGTATAATCCTCCCCTCGACAAGTCAACTCCCTGGTTCTGCAGTGAAATACCTGGAACTGGATATGCTTTTTGCAAGAATGGCCTCTCTGGGGCCCTGATACCTGAGGGGTCCACTTGAGGCTGTTTAGCACAAATTCACAAGTAGTTTCAGTCAAGTCCAATTTTAACTGATTTTTTAAAAGCAATGCTTTTGATTTCTTATTATAAAAGTTTATTATAGTCAACAGGGCTTATGTGGGCAGGAGGATCAGGGGAACTTTTGTGTCTGTCTTTGTATTTTCTGGTATTATGTTAAAGGAATCAATTGCATACTTTTATAAAGAATGATCATCTGAAAATTTCTCAATGGAAAACTTGTTGAGTAACAAAGTCGAATAAAGGTTATTACCCACTCACCCCAAAATATTTTATTGTAGGAAATTGAGAACATACAACAAGCAGAAAGAAAAAAGAAACAAACAAATCATCCACAGTACCACAGCGCAGAGACAAGCATTGCTATAATGTTGGTGTATTTTAACTGACTCTTTTTCTTTATATGCATGTATATAATTTGCTTTATTTATTTATTTATTTATTTATTGTATTTTAGGTTTTGGGGTACATGTGAAGAACATGCAATATTGTTGCATAGGTACACACATGGCAGCGTGATTTGCTGCCTTCCTCCCCTTCACCTATATCTGGCATTTCTCCCCATGCTGTCTCTCCCCAGCTCCCCACTCCCCGCTGTCCCTCCCTTATTTCCCCCTAACAGACCCTGGTATGTGATGCTCCCCTCCTTGTGTCCATGTGTTCCCACCATTCAACACCTGCCCATGAGTGAGAACATGAGGCACTTGATCCTCCGTTCCTGTGTCAGTCTGCTGAGAACGATGTTTCCAGGTTCATCCATGTCCCTACAAAGGACACGAACTCATTGTCTTTGATGGCTGCATAATATTCCACAGTGTATACATGCCACATTTTCCCCATCCAGTCCATCATCAATGGGCATTTGGGTTGGCTCCAGGTCTTTGCCATCGTAAACAGTGCTGCAACGAACATTCGTGTGCATGTGTCCCTACAGTTATAATTTGCTTTTTAAAATAACTATATGTGTTGCACACTGTTATGTACTCTTAGAACATTTTACTTTGCATCATGAGCATTTCCCCATGTCCCTAACTCGTCTTCTGTAACACAGTGTGCGATGGCTGCAGGTATAGTATTTCCTTATTGGGATGAACCACAATTGTTCTCCCCAAACCCCTATTGTTGGACAATCATGGTAAGCCCAGTTCTTTTCTATTGTAAACAATGGTATCTTGACTGTCCTTAAACACAAATCCTGGTGACAGTATGGATTACTGCTTCAGGATACACTTCTAGGAGGAGAGTCATAGCCGAAGGCACACACATTTCCAAGGCCTTTGACATGCATTGCCAAATCGCCAAGTTTTCCTTTAGAAAAGCCAGGCCAGTTCTCATTCTGAGCGTGAGAATGAAAGCAGTATATAAATGAGAGTTTCAGTTTACCCCTCAGAAACGTTGATGGAGCAACTGCTGTGAGCCTGGCTCTGTCCTGGTGGAAACACAGTCCCTGCTTTCAAGTCTACTCCAGTGGATGAAAACAGACACAGCACCAGCTACGACACAATGCAATCCATGCCATAACCGCTGGACAAAGGGACCAGGAAGCACAGAGCAAGGCGTTTGCCTAGTGGGGATCAGAGGGCGCTTCAGAGGGCCCAGAGAGGACTGTGAAAAGGTAGACTCTGTGTTCCTCTGTAAAGGACTTTAGAACATCCAAACAAGACTATCGAAGTATTTCACTGATATGGCTGCTGGTATCTTGCTGGACTTTTCAAAAGTGGCTGTGAACATAAGCCAGTTCAGGAGGATGAATACTGCATGATTCCAGTTATGCAAGGTATCTGTAAGAGTTAAACTCAGAAGCAGAAAATACAATGTAGCTGCCAGAGACTGGAGGGAAATGAGTTGTTCAATGGGTCTAGAGGTCCAGTTATGCTAAACAAATAAGCTCTAGAGATCTGCTGCATGACACAGTGCCTATGGTTAGCTACCAGTGCTGTGTTCTGTACCTTAAAACTTGTTAAGCGGTTAGACCTCATGTTAAACGTTCTCTTTTTTTTTTTTTTTTTTTGAGACGGACTCTTGCTGTGTTGCCCAGGCTGGAGTGCAGTGGCTTGATCTCAGCTCACTGCAACCTCTGCCTCCCTGGTTCAAGTGATTTTCCTGCCTCAACCTCCTGAGTAGCTAGGACTACAGGCATGCGCCACCATGCCCAGCTAAATTTTTTGTATTTTTAATAGAGACGGAGTTTCATCATGTTGGCCAGGCTGGTCTCAAACTCCTGACCTCAAGTGATCCTGCCTGCCTGGGCCTCCCAGAGTGCTACAGGTGTGAGCCACTGTGTCTGGTGTATGTTAAAAGTTCTACACACACAGACACACACACACACACACACACACACCCCAAAATAAAACAAAAAGATACGAGAAAACTTTGGGAGGTACTGGGTATGTGTGTTGCAACTTATCAAACTTTACACATAAATGTATGCAGTTCTTTGTGTATCTATTGTGCCCTCACAAAGCTGTTTAAAACTGGCCCCAGTGGAGGCATTTTCCCTCCTTGGTGTCTGGGAGAAGAGCCTGAGGGGCTCCGAAAGGACATGATCGCTGTTCCCTTCTGCTTCTCACACTGTTCCGTGGAAACCATCCTAAGAAGTGATTTTCTTATTTTCATCCCCATGGTAAGAGGCTTCCCCTATTCCCTTGAGGGACAAAACATCACAATCTGAACACTTTGGAAGTCTTTATGGCTAAGCTAATGCTAGCCATAAATTCTCTACAAAGGGACAGGGCCTGCCTCCACCACCAGATATTTTGGGGCTTGAAACAAAAGGCATGCACAGCCTGAGCTTTGTGAGCAGCTCTGTGCTGTGTGGCTAATCCAGGGGTTTGCTCAGGCTTTGGTCTTCCTGAAGTCGGGGAACTGACCTTCTTTCAGTTACTGATCCATTTCATCACCTACTGAGGAGAGAAGGGAAGGAGAGGGCCATGTGTCTTGACTGAGGTCCAGCCGCTTGCCCTGGGATCTGGCTTGTGGGTGAATCCTTTCTGCTTCCCTTGGTTGTCCCAAGATCCACACAGAGGGAGCTGGATGTAGTTATAATAAATGCAAAATCAATCAAAACCAAAACAGAGAATGACTTCAGGACCTAAGTGCGAGTGGAATGACCACAAGAAAGTCAAGAAGTCATGGATGGCTAATGAGCCAGAAACCCCTAGGACTTGTTGGATATCACTTTATTTTTATTTTTGTAGAGACAGGGTCTCGCTATGTTGCCCAGGCTGGTTTTGAACTCCTGGACTCAAGTGATCCTCTCCCCTTGGCCTCCCGAAGTACTGGGATTACAGGTGGGAGCCACTGTGCCAGGCCTGGACATCAGTTTGTAAAGTGGTCTGTGGCCAGTGCTGGGTAGAGATGTGTTGTTTCTGACCTGTCTTTATTGGCACTGGACAGTGCTGAGTGGACCTAACTGACTGTGTGTCAGACACTGCGACCAGAAGTACAAGGCATTCTTACTGTTCTCAACCTCTGGCAGACAAGCTGAGTGATTTGTCTTGGGAGGCGGAGGAGGCAGGACTGGAACTCAGTGCGGTGTGTCTTCAAAGCCTGTGCTCTTAAATACTGCATGTAGGGGAACTGGGTCCTGGCTGAGACTCCCTGACTCTGTGAATTAGAAGGACCTGGAGGAAGATGTGCTTTTAGTCACGTGGACTGCTTTGAGAGGCAGCATGGCACCAAGTGTGGGGTGTGAGGCCAAACTGCTTGTGAGTAAGTCCTGGGTCTGAGAGCGGCAGCACAGAGCCTGAATGCGACAGGGGAGCAGCCTGATGGTGTGGCGTTTCTCTGGTGTGATTGTTTGGGGCAAGGGTTGGGATTCACATAGACCCACTGAGTGACCTGAGGCAAGTGTCTCCAAGCCTTGCTCCTCTGCAAAACAGGGGTAATAATAGAACTCCTACCTCATAGGGTTGTGTTGAGTATTTAATTAATTAATTCATAGAAAGGATTTAGAACAAAGTCTGGCGCATTAATCCTACTGAACAGAATTAATCCTATGGAAATGTATGACATCCTTGGCATTCTATTTCTTGGACAGCCTTAAAATTCTTCCTTGTGCTTGGTGAAAACCTCCAGCTTGAGTCTGTAAGGTCTTATTTTTTTGGAGAAGACTGGAGATGTGGAGAGAGGGAGGCTATTGGAACCCAGGCTTCCAGAGTGTGGGCCCTGAAGCATGCAGTCATGCCCCAGGCCAACAGGAGCATGACTTAACTCCCCCAGAGCTATGGAAGCATCTGTGAAATTTCTCAGTCACTCTCAACAAGCCTTGCCTTGCTGCCTCCTCAAGCCCAGCCAAGCCGAGACTCAAGGGGTCTTTCTGCTTTTCCTTCTGTCTTCGAGGTCTGACCTGTGATGAGCTGGGTATCCGATCTCAACCCCTACTGTGCTCTACACTTCACTGTTTTCATTAGGAATTCACCCTTTTGCTAATAATAATACTAATTTTAAAAAGAATAATTCATTTCTCATAGCAAGTAACCTCTATGGAGGGTGTGCTCTGAGTTGGGCCCTGTCCTAAGCAGTCTACATGTCCTATCTCACTTACCCTCGAAGAAACACTACTAATGCTATTGTAACTCCATTTTCCAGATGAGGAAATAGGTTCAGAGAGGGAACTTGCTCAAGACCACAGGTGGATTCAAACCCAACTCCATCTCAGCCCCCGTATTTACTTGTTTGGGATCAAGACCTCAAATAGCCCAAGAATATGGAGACACTCAATGGTGGAGAGCAAAGGGTTTGGTCAGAAGAAATCAAGTCCGTGCTACTTGTTCTACAATTAAGGATGCTTTTTGGACACCAGAGTTCAAGGCCCCAGGTTAGTTTTGTTGAGCTTGCAGGTGCCTCTCACAAATACCAAGACGGCTGTTGAGTAAATGCCAGGATCAAGCCAAGGCCCAGCTCTCTGCCGGCAAGCCAGCCAGGCACCTGGGACTGCAGTGCCCAGGTCAGAGATGGGTCAGACAGACTATGATGTGGGGCTGAGGAGGCCAAAGCATGTACCATCCTCACCTCGCCCAGGACCCAGATAAACCCAGGCCCTCCCACCCCTTCCAGCCCTGCCAACAGCAAGATTCCATAGAAAGTGGCCTTTCAGGACATTTGCTCCATGTCTTTTACAGGCCTTGTAACTCAAGAAAAGGAAAGCACATAGTATCACCCCGAAAGAGCCAGGGCCCACATGCACTGAGTGCTTTCTGTATACAAGGCCCCGTCCTCACCCTATACCTACTTTATCCCTGTTGACCCCTGCCACAGCCCTAGGAGATTTTATTCTATGTTATTTTTTTACAGAACTTGGAGTTCTGACTTCCAGATCACAACCATTCAGTTGACACCTCTGTCTCCCAGTAGCCACGGCTCAAGGGTGCGGGGCCACTCTCCTCTCAGAGGAGCCTGGCTGAGCCCAGTTCCATAGCCACCAGTGGAAGCTGCCCATTGCACTTTTTAGCCTCAGCTTGGCCACCTCTGCGAGCCATGCTGCCTGGCTTTCAGTGCCTCCAACGGGCCAAGTTTTCTTCCTCAGAGCCTTTGCCCGTGTGGTTCTCTCCCTCAGGAATGGTCTCGCTGTCCCATGAATTCCCCCTGGGCTAATCCAGCACTACTCATCCTCATGTTTCAGGTTAAATATCTTGTGCTCAGAGAAATCTCTTCTAAGCCTCACCTTATCTTCAAATGAGATATCTTCAGTTATTCCTTTTTGTTCCACAGAATTTTGTTTCCTTCGTAGTACATGTTCCAATTTGTTAATCAGGCCTATTTGCATAACTCCTCTTCTTTGCTGGACTATGAGATCATTGAGGTGGGATGGTGCCTACTTCGCTCACCATAGAATGTCCTTGACCCAGCACAGTGTTGGGCACAGGGCTCACTAGACGTCTGTTGAATAAACAATGGGCAGTCAGAAGAAGCAGAAGGTTCACATAAAAGTCTTTATCTCCACCACAAGTTTTTGAAGTTCAGGCTTAAACAGAAAGGTTACAGAAGAAATCTGCTGAACTTTCTAAAATATTGATCAAAGCAGCTAGAAATCAAAATCAGATTTGGGGGTCTAAGTGGCATATTGACTCAGAGCTGTCAGAGGCTATAAGGGACATGGAAGCTGATGTCCTGAGAGTATGAGTGACACTTCAGTGAGAAACGGGCAAGCTGGGGCTGCCCCAAAGTTTGCTTGTCTTGTGGAAAAGAAAGTTGCACTATTAAGTCATCTTCATTGGTAGAAAAACCCAGTCCCCAAAGAGCAAGATTTGAACAGCAGGGTACACCATGCTTTTGTTGGGTGAAGGGAAAGTCCTAGAAGTTTACACATGAATGCGCCTATGCTGGATCGAAGGGGAGTTGGTTGAAACCTCCCGCACAATAGAGAGCTGTTTAATGCAGCCATTAGCTCCATTATGAACTCATTTATGATTTTATTTACTTAACAATTCAGTCTTCCGTGTCATGAATTTTTGAGAGAGACATTCAATTAGGAATTATGACTGCAGTTTAAAGAAATATATTGCCTCCCTTCTAGGTGGGTGCCAGCTTTCTTTTATGGATGTGCCTGGATGCATTCCAGAACATTTGGAAGAAACAAATTCTAGCACTTTTTCTCCATTCCTCCCTCAAAGCCTGGGACTCCTGCCAATTAGAAAAACCTTGGCATGTGCCCTCAATACTAGGTATGGTGTTAAGTTGGTGGCAGGCAGAGAGGTCAGCCGGCGCCCTGGTGATGCATCTCAACCGGTTCCTCTGCACAGATCATCCCTAAAATCCCACCGTCTAGGTGCTTCCTCAGACCCCACACAGGCACTGGTTTCCCCTTTAGTGGGTCTTTCTCCCAGCTGCTCTCATTCTAATTTTTATTCCTAATCCTCCCCCTCCCATGAGACCCCAAAAATTCATCCTAAACTTGGGACAGAAATACAACTCCTCCACAAACCACAATTTTCCATCTGGACTGGGCTCCAATAGTGTTCCTTGGTTATAAGCAATGGGAATGCACTCTGTCAAACAGAAAAATGATTAGTGGCTCATATAATCACTGGAAGGCAGAAAAAACTAGGGAAGGAAGGGACGAAGGTGGCAGGAAAGCTGCACCACCTCCCCAGTCAAAGCAAATGAACTCCAACCATTGATGCACTCTGCATCCCTCAGCTCAGGATGGAAGCTTGAAGGGAGAACAGCATTTGGCTTAGCCTGGTAGACGAGATTGGGGCACTTTGATGGACAATCTCACCAGACCATGTGTGTCCAGTGAGAAGAGTGGTCCCCTTAAACAAAACAAAGTGCCGTTGTACAAAGAAGGGGAAGAACAATCCAAGAAGGCAAACAAAGGCCAACACTAATCCACTGAAATCGGGAAGAGCCTAGACACCATTCCACCCCAGGAATGGCTAAAGGAGTTGAGGCTTTGTAGCCTGGAAATGTGAAAACCTCTATTGGGGCCTTTAAATTCTTGAAGAGCTGCTCTTTGCATATATTGCTAATTCCTTACAACAGTGTCAGGTAGATGGAGTTATTATCCCTGTTTTAGCGATTAGGAGACTGAGAACCAGAAATATTGAGCAGTTTGTACGAGGTCACACTGCAAGAGGCAAAGCCAGTTCAAGCCCAGGTTGGTTTGACTCTCAAACACATGCTGAGAGCAGCATTTTTCTTGTTGACTCTTAAACAGAGAGTTAAGAGCAATGAATAGAATGGGAAGAAAAGCCATGCAGGACTTGTTTTCACATTATGAACTTTTTTTTTTTTTTTTTTTTTTTTAAATAGAGCAGCCTAGCAGTGTTCTTTAGAAACAGTGCCATTCCTGGGATGAGTAATTGCTATTTTTATTTCATGAACCTTATTTACCCCTTCTTTTGTTAATAAGGGCCCCATTTTGCTTTTCAAACAACTTCAGGAATTCCCCTGGCTGGCAACACACTGGTGACTAAAACAGACTCTTAGATCTAGCAGAGAATTTGTCTGGGCTGCTGTGGAGAGAGATTTCTTGAATAAGGGAGAAGCAGAGAGAGAGGAATTCCAGGGTCTTATTAAACCCTTGGATTCAGGGAGTCTACGAATGCTAAAAAGGCAATAATAGTAAGAGGCAGAGAACATTCTGTTTTGCTTTACTTCTGATGCTCACCAAAGCTTTGTGGGCATACGTAGCACCTGTGTGTGTGTGTGTGTGTGTGTGTGTGTGTGTTGGTGGGGAAATGTGGCTGGCTCAGGACGTCTCTTTTCAAGAGAGTCTGTCCTTGGCCACAGGCCCCTCCCTAGCCCTTGTTTGTATTACGTCAGGATCCTGATCTTTCTTGCCCAACTTTTGGTGACAGCTGATTAGGCTGGGATAGACCTAAGCCAGGGTATCCATCTATCACCTTCACTGAGCCAATCAACTTCTCTTTCTCTTGAATTTGAAGAAAAATAAACTGTATTCAGGATTTCAATCTGGTGGCCCATAGGTATACAGATGTGCTTGCGTGCTTGCTGACATTTCTCTTTAAATTAAGCTTGAATAAATTTGCTGGATTATCCAGTTTGGCATGGTTCCCGCCCACTTCTATTGTATCACTGACTGCCTGGTTCAGAGATTTATATTACCCATTTTGTCCCTGTGGGCATTTGAGTTTGCCTCTCTCATGGAGTTTACAATGGCTAGCGTTTTTAAGAATTTCCTTGCCAGACCTACTTTTGAGTGTTTTTCATAAATCAACTCATTGGATACTCACATTAGCTTTATGAGACAGAAACAATTATCATTCCAATTTTGCCAAGAAGGAAACTGAGGTATACTGTGTCCAAGGTGACACAGGCAGTAAATGACAAAGTGGAAATCTGAACCTCATCCTTCTAACTCCAGTTTATATTGTCTTGATTATGGTGATGCAAGACTTAAAGTAAAAAGCAGGTCAAGCCACCTCATAGCTAACATTTTGGAAGAGCAGAGAGGTCACGTGTCAGCAGAAAACAACAGATTGCATTTTCTCCAACCAGGGGATGGAGCAGATGTTCTAGAATAAGTGGAGAGGAGTGATGAGCAGCACCATAAAAAACAGAGATGCAGTCTTGGATGCTGGCTGTCCAGACCCAGACACCATGTGGCCTGAGTGTCCTTGGTTTCCTGTCCTTGGCCAGTCACACCTTTTCCAAATCCCTGTTATGTGAGCTGGTTTGAGTGAGCCTCTGTTTCTTGCCTCTGTTTTCCTGCCCACGACTGCTCTGTGTTGCACACCTCCTCCTGGGGACAGTTCACAGAGTCTGCTCTCCACTTAAGGCTGAGACACCCCAACCAGAGGGTGGGGAGCACAGCACCCCCGGAACCCTGGACACTCCTCAGGAGAGGACTGTAGAATGTTTTAAGTATTCTTGACTTTGAAACAGCTCTTGAAATATCCTGCTTGGGAATGACATTTTTGCTTGCTGAAATTGTACGCATGCTTATTGTGCTTTTAGAAAATCAAGTCTTGGCTCGCTTCAGCCCACACCCTTGGTAGCAAAAGCATGGCCAGCTGAACCCCACTCAATCCAGATGGAGCAAGCTCCCTGGTTGTTTTCTGGGGATCAGGCTTTCTCCAGACAGCCATGAAGTCCTCCTTAGGGTGCTGCAGGTTTGTTCCTGCTGCTCTCCAATCCCAGGCTGTTAGAGAGCATGCCTGTCAACTTCTTTCCAGAACATTCTGTTCAACAGAAAAAAATGCTCTGAGCCTCTCGCAGCATGAGCCCCTGACCTGTGATAGAAGATCCTCTGGGGCTGGAAGGAGGATGGCTTCCATGACACAGAAAGGCCGACGAAACAAATTTGTCACTCCTTTGCAGAAGGGCTCCAAGGTCACCCTCTTACCTCCAAGGTTAAAGGGACACAGTGAACCTGGGAGACTTGCTTAGGCAGATGCTCAGTACCATTCAGAAGTGGCTGTTAGTGTGCAGATCAATAAAGAAGACAGGAGGCCACCTTTTGCAAGGACAATTCTGTGGCCTGTTCAAGTGGACCAGAGCAGGTTCAGCCTTCCCAAGCCAACCCAAGAGTACTGGCGCTGGAGCGATTTCTCTTACCAGCCCTTAGCTGAGAAGAATTTCTCAAGGGAGGGTGCTGGTACAGGGAGAGGAAGGTACATTGATATGGGGAATTCAGGAAGGCTCCTAAAGTAGCTGGCTTGGAATGGCAGCTTCCGATAGGAAGAAAACAGGTCACATGCCAAGCTTGTACCCACATCGTCTCTCTAACTCCTCATTATAGACCAAAGACATAGACAGTCATTACCCCATCTGACAGAGGAGGAAACTGAAGCTCAGAAAGCCTAGTTTACTGCCCCAGGGACAGAGCTAGGACTTGTGGTGATGAATCTGACCTGAGAGATGGAGCCTAATCACGATGCCTCCTACTCCCAGTCTTTGCTCTGGAGGGGTTTTTACAACTCCATTTTCCACCCCCTAACCCCACCCCACCCCACCCCCACCGCCACCCCCATTTGACAAGTCTCTCTTTCTCTGTGGCTCTTTTCTTCCTTCTTCCCTGCTGGCTGTACCCCAGCAATCCTCAGTGTTTCCTGCTACCTGCCTCCCACGTCTTTGCACACTCCCTGTGTGGCAGGGTGCCCTGCTGAGAGACCAGGATGTGATAGCTCAGACCCTCCAACTCTATTTTATCACATCTGCCTTCTCCTATCCCAATCATTGACCTCATTTCTCCCTCCTTTACTTCTCCTTCGCCATTTCTCTGTAACCTCTGCATAGAGTTCTGGCTTATTTTATTCTTCCATTCACTTCCTTATGCATTCATTTAGCTGAATAAATTTTGAGTATCTTTATAGATTTGGGGCCCTGTTCTATGTCTTGGGAACATAGCAGCCAATAGACCACAGAAGATCCCTGCTTTCTTAAGTTCAAGGTGCTTAAGTTCAAGTCTGGGAGACAGACACAGACAAGAATACAAATTAATGAAGATAAATAAGTAAGATTATAACAAGTGTCTTCAAGGACATACTCAGTATGAGAAAATGAGGAGGAACTGGGGAGGAGCGACCTCAGATGGAATGACTGGGTAGCATCTTCCAGTAGCTAAGTGGTCCCCATTGACCCACTGATGGGACCCCAGCAGGGGGTGAGCAATCCTCCATCACCCTTTAGTGTAGGTTCTCTGGTGTCTCTCCCCTACTGACACTTCTTCCTTCCCCAGGTCAGTTGGGAGTTTTTAGGAGGGGAGGGAGTTAGGAGCCAGACTTAATAAAACCTAGTGGAGGAGGAAAGACTGAATTTAACTCCTGTTCAGGTCCTGGAAGGAGTGTCTGTTCACTCTTCTCTTCCGATGGGGCTGTTCTTTCCAGCTCCTGGAGAGATGGTTCAGTCACTGCAAGGTTGCCTGCCAGTGGAGCAGAAGGTCAGCCTCAAACCGTCTTTTGTCACCTGTCCGAGTTAACCTGAGGCTTCCCATTCCCTTACTTTTCACCTTTGCATTTCTAGGCACCATTTTATAACTGTCTCCATTGACATTCTGCTAGGATATGTTTGTAAGACATTTCATTTATCCTCTGGGGTTCCTGGGAATCTGGAGAGGTTTGAGAGTGGCTTGGTCATGTGGAGAGTGTTCTTTTCCCTGGGAACCATATCTACCTCCCACAGAATGTTCCTCACTCTGAAATCTAGGTAGGTAGTTGCTGTAGCTTCCTACCCCTGTTAGGATAATTGGACTAATGTTGCCTATTAGCGCTATCCTCAGGGGCCTGAACCTGTGAAATCATCAACTAAAAACATCCATTCAGCTGCAACAGCCCAAACTGCTTTCAAACCAAGTCAAATTTCTTTCTCTTTATAGATTTATGAACCAAGCCAAGGTAATTTTCTTTTTTCTAACATCAGCAAAAGATCCTAATGCCCACTGAGCCAGTTTGAACTTATAATGAACTGAAAAATTGTCTGCAGCTTTTGAACCAGCTCCTCAAAATAATCTCTAAAATAAGCCTAAACAACCATTGCTGCTGGGCCATCCAAGCTGGTTTACTGGTGCCACTGTGGCCTGTTGC